AGTATTTTAATTATTGTTGTGTATTAATATTTGACTAGTGAAAGATTTTCAATAATAAAAATCGATATATTTAAAGAGAAAAGAAAATTGTTGTAAGATAGGAAAAAAAACAAGAGTTAATTGATTCAATATTTATTTTAATAATCTTAATTCTCTATTTTCAGTTGAGAATTAAAATTTTCTAATAATTTCATTTATAATTTCGATCTTTAATAGTTTATATATATATTAACCTTTCGAAGCGTATTGTTCAATCAATCGATGAATATTTGTTTCATATTTAATCAGGATAGTGTATATTATTCAGATTTTCATTAGCAATTTATAAAAAAAAACCTTTGAAGTCCTTTTCGATTCATGCAGATTGCGAAAATGTATTTTTTTTAATCACTGTAGGCGAGGAATACGAATGTGAGTCGAAATTCGATAGAGATCGCATAAGATTAATATTCGAACTATTCTTAGGTAATATGTATCTAAATCTGATCAAACTTCTCACCTGAATGATCAGATTTAAATCATAATTGTTCTTATAATGAAATATGTTGAGGTTGATGAGTCATGACTACAGTAAAATTTTCAGACTTTTAGCACGATGTACAATAAACAAGAACTAAAAATAATTCTTTAGTATCTTCAAATTTTTTTTATGAGTCTTTGAATTCGGTTTTTGTTTGAAAGAACATCTCAAAATGCAGCGACTCTCGTAGCCCTATTTTTTTAATCTTACTTTTTATGAGAAAAAGATCGTGCAAAAATTCAATCATGAAAAAATCCTCTCTGAAAATTTTCGCTGTTCTGAGAGAGGTGTTATCTTTCATAATAATAAAAAGGCTTATTTTAAAAAACGAGACACGAAAGTTGCTAGTCCTAAACATAAGCTTTCTTTCTTCCTGTAATAAACTTCTACTTAAGATACATTGTTGAGCCCAATTAACTAAAAATGATTTTTGGTTTTTTTGTAAAAAAACTTGTTTTTTCGAATAGAAAGTGATAAAAATCCTCAACATTTTTTGGAAAAAAAAACAGGTGCCAAGTAAAATATTTTGTCATTTATGAAAGAGCAGATGATGGAATATTAGTTTTCTATGAATTTATCTCAATTTCAATCATTTTAGCAAAAAGTGACTTTTTTTTAAAGTGGGGGCGATTTTATGTATATATCTAATTAACTAGTTAAGAGATAATTGATTATTTAAAGAAGAGAAAAAAAAATAATCTAGATCGAAAATTGTTAAATAATATTCTAACCTCGAAATTTGATAGCTTGTGTATAAATAATAATATCTGATAAATCTTTTGCTACTAATATAGTTGGTATTTTGGGCATAAGAATAGCTGATTTATTTGTTTTAATAATATGATTATTATCAATTGAACTAGTACTCTTCAAACGTTGTCGTGGTTGATTATTCATAATACTATCACGACGATGTCGATATGATCTTAAAAAAATAAAAAGAATTAATTTAAAAATAAAAATAAATTATTATTTAAATTTACAAATCTTCATCATTATCTCTATAAACATTTTGATTAATATTTTCTTTTTTAAAATGATAAATAGATGAATCAGTCATTGAATTTGATCTTTGTGATTCTCGTTTAGTATATTGTTCATAATTAAAATCATCAATAAGTTCATCATCATCTGAATCTTCATCTTCTTCATTATCATCTGGTAATGAATAAACTGAATTTCTATAATTAACACTTAATTGAATTTTTTGTTTTTCTATTTGTGTTGTTGAATAAATATTAGTTATTTTTTTATTTTTAATTAATATTTTATATTTTAATTGATTTGGTGATGGTAATAATGAATCTTCATTAAAATCAGTATCAAACATATATTTTATTATTAATTTATCACCAAATATTTTAACAAATATTTGTGCCATACGTGATTGTTGAATTAATGAACGATTTTCAATTGATAATATAACAGGATATGGAGATGTTAGAAAAGCACTTTCATTTATAACTTCAACAACTAATTTAAATGAAATTTTACTAACAAATGTTCGTCCATGATAAATAACTGGATAACCATCATCACCATCCCAACAATCAAGTTCAATACAACGACAACCCGATAAAAGAACCTTAATTTTTATTATTATTTTTTTTTTTATTTTTAAAATAAATATTTTTCTTTCAATTTATTTAACTTACTTTACGATACATTTCAACTGAAGATTCACCACGTAATTGATGTCCTGTTAAATATGTATTATGAGATGAAGCTACAAAATAATATGATAATGGATAATTCATTTCCTACATTAAATATTAAAAAAAAAAATTTTTATTTATTTATTTAATATTAGTTTTTTTTTCGTCTTTTTGTTACTTGTTCATTGACTTTAGTATGTTCATTAATAAATGCATAATTATCTTTATCCAAAAGATAGCGTGAGAAACCTTCGAATGAAAGAACTTTATTCAAACGATTTTCTCGATTAGGTTCATGACGCTAAAAATAAAAACAAAAATTAAAATTTTCATATATATTTATCGTCTTTTAATAATTTTAAAACAATTAATAGATATATTTATCAAGCTTTAATTTAACCCTTTGGTTACGGGGCCCGCATATATGCCGGCTGAGCGTTTATGCAGATTATAGCTTTTACAATCTTCTATCTTTCTTGGGCGATAGAGTGTTCTCTCTTTCTTCCGTGCTTTTAGTGTCACAACATCATTATATGATAACGCTATGCATGCATATTAGTTGAAAACAAAGAATTGTGGATTTAGAGGTCTATGGAAATTCATAGACTCTCTAAACTCAAAATCTTTCAAAGTCCTGTGAAATCCAACAGAAGTCCGTGATATTGCGCAGAATCCCAGAACTATTGTTGCTGTGAGGAGTTGCGATTATTGCTGAAACTCTAATCTTACAAAACACCAGGCGTTCAATTTTATTAGGTCTGTATTATAATATGGCGTCATAAGATTACTCATGGGGTTACACGAAGGATTTCATAAGGTTCTGGGTCACTTTACTCGACTCTGCTATTCCAGAATTTTATTGCGTTAGTTGAAGCCTGGTGTAGTCCATTGATTTGCTTGGGCGTATATACCCTATTCTAGACTTTTACGAGCAAACTCAAACTTTTTTCCGTATTTCCAAAAACACCGTAACCAAAGGGTTAATTATTTTCTTCCCAATGATCAATTCAATATCTTGAGGGTATTTGGAAAAATCAATAATAAGTATTAGAGAAAGAATGCATTCATGTAAAATTTAATGTTTAGTTCGAGATTAAATTGTTTTATGAATGAAAGTTAGATGAGAATAGCTGACTTATTGATCAGTTACAGTAAACAAAGATTTGTTATATATGGATAAAAAGAATTTAATAATCTTTCGAAATAAATAAAATCAGAGGAAATTCTTGACTATGAAGATTTACTCGATATATAAAAATGTTCGAAATGACCAACAAAAGAATCAAATCTTCACTTAGTTTATCCATTGTTTTAAGTTACTTTCACTGATTTCTAGTAATCTTTTACCGTTATTGAATATTCCTGACTATATCTTATCATCCTTCTCAAATATTTGATGTACTAGACTAGTTTTTATTGATTTTAAGTAGTAGAAAACAGTTTTTCTTCTTGTTGAAAGTGTGTTTTGTTGAAGAACTAATGGTAAAGGCGAGTTTTGAAAGAAAATCGATCAACATAGAGCCCATGTGATTAGAATCGGAAGAAAACCGTCGGTTACCAGCTTCCGTTCCTATACTTTATCGGTAAAATCTGTTCAGTATTTATGATATGGGAGGATGATTATTTTTATAAAATATGTTTTTCTTCAGTACTTATCTGAAACAATTCTTCAAATTTCCGAAGTAATGCATCCTAACAAGATTTTTTGTTGTTGAAATAGTTCTAACTCAATAGTAGGACATTCAAAAAATTTGATAGAATCGATTTTGAATGTGAAAATATGTTAGTCGTATCTTATAGATAAAATATGATCGTAATCAATGATTATTATTAATTTAATTGTTACCTTGTCAACAGTCATAGAAGAGAATAATTCTATTAAAAAAAACGAAGTAGAACATTTAGAAGTAATCGAGGTTTTATTTAAAAATAAAATGTATATATATAATAAAATGATTTAATTCTATTTGGAATAAATTGAAAGTGATTATATAAATAACAGAAGCGAATTCACAACAGCAGTGAGAAGATCACGATTTATCAAAGGGGGTACCCATGTAAAAAAAAATTGCCTCAATAAGCACAAAAAATCTGATTGTTAATCGATTATAATCATACGATTCTTAATCACTAATTTACACAGAAATAATCACAAAAAAAATCGGTTATTTTATTCAATTTGANGTTTAATTAACATTGAATAATCTAAACATTCATTTGATACATCTTCATTTAAATTAACATTTTCAATTGTTCGATCATTATCCCAACAAGGTTTTCTCCTGAAACAAAAAAAAATAATTAAATTTTTTTGTATTTTAAAATAATAAATAAATAAATATCTAACCAAGTTAATGTACAATTGTCTATTTCAAGACGTAAAGTAACTAAACATGTATGCATTGTATCCTCATCATAAAGAATTAATGTTGTACCATTTCTACAAAAAATGAAGAAATATTTAAAAAAAAAAAATAATAATTAACCTAAGCATTTGTAAATAATTAAAATCAATAATATGATGCATTGATAATAAAGATACTTGATGATTATGTTTAACTTGTGCTATTGGTTGATAAAATGATACATTTAAACAATAATATGTTTCAGGTTCATCTTGATCAAGATTTGAACGATATAATATTTTAGAATCATTTCTTAATGAATTTTTAACATTTATATTTAATAAATCATTATCATCAACAACTTTAATTGATATATTTGTCATACGACGTTGATCATATTCATTTGTTGTTAATGATGTACATGGATATGATTTATTACGATTACATCGAGTTTTATATATTCTATATTATAATAAAAAAAATTTTTTGCTTTATAAATAATAAATATTAAACATACTTATCTGTTGAATTATCATCAGATGGTGTTGATACTCTAGATAATTCTTTTTCTTTTATATCTGTTAATAATGTTTCATTTGATAATTTAATAGAATTAAGATCATGATAACATTTAAATAATGGTTGACGACGATGACGATTATGAAACATAGCTATATCTTTTAATACCATATAAACAAGTTCCATTTTTCGAGTATTTATTAAACCACCAACACCGATACCTAATATTAGTTATTGAATTCTTTCTTTTTTGTTTTTTAATTTTAATTTTATTTTAACTTACGTGTTAAATAATGTTCTTGATTTTGAATATCGGATACATTCTAGATAATTTATATTAAAATTATTTAAAAACAAAAAAGAAAAAAAACAAACTTCAATTGTTTTTTGTGCATCTTGATTAGATAAAACAACCATACTTGGTACACTACTTAATATTGTTCGAAGATCTTTAAGAAATGTACCAAAAACTGGTACTACTTTACATGTTGGAATATCTAATGCTCGACTAAGAGCATCACAATATTGAGCAGTTTTTTCATTTGAATTAAATTCATCCATAAGTAATTTAAAACCTGGAATTTCATCAGTTATTGTTAACCATAAAGGACGAAATGCTTCGATTCTATAGAAATATTATTTAATAAATTTTAATCAAGTTAAACTTTCCTTTAAAAAAAAACATTCACTTTTCGCCAAAATTATCAAAATTGAAATAAAATTCATAGAGAAATAGTCAATCATTTGTTCTTTCATAAATGACAAAAAAAAAATTTTACTCGGTACCTCTTTTTTTTCTAAGAAATGTGGAGGATTTTCGTCACTCTCTATTGGAAAAAAAATCATTTTTCGTAAAAATGGGTTTAACAATATATCTCAATTAGAAGTCTATCATAGGAAGAGATAAAGACAAATATTTTTCTTTGTTTGAAAGCTTTTTATTCACGACTAGTGCTCGACGTGATCAACTTTTTTGGTTCCTGAATCTGAGAAAACTTTCCAAAAAGAGTTTTTTGAAAAGTGCCTCTTTACTGTTAAAACCGATAATCAAAGGGAGTTGACTTCATGGAAGTTTCCGCTTACAGAAAAAACGATGACTAATAGAAAGCAGCAGCTTCCCAAAAGTATCTCTACTTTTCTTCGAAGATTTCTAAAACTTTCGACATGTTTTTCCGTGACTCGTTTATTAAAATAAGCCTTTGTAGTATGCTGAAAGATAACACCTCTATTAAAACAGTGGAATTTTCAAAGAGATGTTTTAAGTCATTGAACTTTTGCTCGATCTTTTTCTCATAAAAAGTAAGACTAAAAAAAAAGAGCTACGAGAGTCGCTGCATTCTGAGATGCTCTTTCAAACAAAAAACGAATTAAGACACTCATAGAAAAAAAAAATTTGGAGATACTAAAGAATTATCTTTAGTCCTTGTTTATTGTAAGGGGGAAAGTGCAGGCACCCAGCACCCTAGCACCTCAGCACCTGTTCGGCACCTTCGGCACCTAGTCAGCACCTTCAACCATTTTTTCACTATCTTAAGTACTTTTTCAGCACCTTGCGAGAAAATTTAAAGGGCAGAGCCTAGGCACTAAAATTTATCTCAAGGTGCTGAAAAAGTGCTTAAGATAGTGAAAAAATGGTTGACGGTGCTGAAGGTGCTCATAGTAAATTCAATAAAGGTGTCGAACAGGTGCTGAGCAGATGCTGAGGTACCAGGGTGCTGGATGCCTGCACTTACCCCCTTGGTTTATTGTACATCGTGTTAAAAGCCTGAAAAAATTACTGTAGTCATGACTCACCAATCGCAATATATCCTAAAAGCTGCATAGAATTTAGATACTTCTAGGTTGAGATCCATTTTTGAATCAGAGAGGAAGGAAGCTTAATCATTTCAACAAATATATAATCGAAATTATAATTATATATGCAGATTGATAAATTTATTTTTAATAATTTTCATTATTTTGATAGAATTGAATAATATATATAAAAGAAACATACTTTAATCCAGCTAAAATTTGCATAGCACTATTAAAATTTCCAATATACCAACAAGTTATTGCAAAACGAAGAATAGATGCAACTAAAGATTTACATTCTTGAAAATTTGTTTGAGAAACAATTAATTGTTGAATAAATGATCTAACCTATAGATAAATAAATATATATGAATAAAAATAAAAATAAAATAAATTACAGCTTGAAAACGTTGTAAAAGAATTCGAATATTTTTTCCTTGTAAAGAATTATCATGTGTTGATAAGTATGATATATCAAGTGTTAAATGTCTTAAATATTGTAATGGTGGTACACTAAGAAAAATATCATGTTCAATATCAGTTAAACGTATAGCTACTTCTTCAGGAAAATCAAATAAATTTTTTAATTCTTCAAGATCAGATGATAATGAATATAATTGATTATTTTCATATTGATTTATATTTCTTAATTCAGGTAAAATTTTTCGACGATTATTTACAATAAACGTTTTAAGATATTCAAAATTATCTTTTTTATTTAAATTATTATTTGATGATTTATGATAAATAGAATTTTTTTTTGAAATATTATTTTTTTGAAAATTATTTATTTGTTGTTGTTGTTCAATTTGAGAATATCGGCGCAATGTTGAACATAATGGTATATGTTTATCAAGTAAAGCAAAATCTTCAGCATTAACTATTTTCCATAAATAAACAGTTATAGCACGTAAATCAGCTGTTGTATTTAATTGTAAACGCCATTTTGTTTTATTACGAAATTCTAAAATAAGTTGATTTATTCGAGCATTTAATTCATCTCCACTTGTTATCCAATGTTCAACATCATATATACGTTCTTCTTTACATATTATATTACTTTTATTATCTAATAAACATATTTTATCTGAACGAATACAAAGAAGTCGATTTTCCTAAATAAATATTTTATATCGAAATTTTTCTTTTAAATAATAACAAAAAAAAAACAGTCAACAAACTTTTCGTTTTGATCGTTTTCCATGAATTTCTTTAACAAGATAAATTTCAGCATTATAACCAGGTAAATTTCGACATAAACGAATATAACATTCTTTTAAACGTGTTGGATTATCATAATCAATTATATGAAATAATTTACGTTGTTTATCCTAAACAATTTTTTAAATAAAAGATTACATATCTTCGAAGAATATCCTCACAAAACTCAATTATTCCCTCTACTGAAAGGAGGGTCTTACACTGAAATGAGCTGATTACGTTCGTTTGCACAGAACGAAAGAATGTTTTTTTTTGACCTGTTTCAGTTGAGACACCTATAAAGTTTGAGCAAAGGTAATTGGGGTCGGGGAATCCGAATCTGTGGTTAGTTTTTACGAATTTTGAGTTTTTTATTTAGAGGGAGAAAGAGACTCTTTTATGAAATAAATTTCTGTTTGAATACTATATGTTTAACGAGATCACATCCTTTTAGTAGAGGGTTAGCGATGTTTCCGTTGCGCTACATGTGTCTTAAGGTAAGAGATATAGAAGATACAGTAAATAGTTATTTGATTTTTTCGATCAAGGATCGATGACGAACATCAATATTCTTCTATACCTCTTATCCTAGGACATAATTAAGTTTCGGGAGATATTCTCCGAAGACATCATATGAATAATAGAAAAAAATTGATACAATTAAATTTAAACTCTTTTCAGAGTTTTATTTAGATACGAAAAGAAAAAACAAACGACTATTATATTTTTTGGTAGGAACGAGATAGAGATCTGTGATTTTCACCGTTGGAAATAGCCGATGAAGATGCATCGAATTGTATATAGAAACATTTTTTCTAACTACTTTCCTAAAGGTTTAGTCAAGCAATTGCTTTTTACTTCTACGGGAAAAAAAGTGACTTTTCTTTGAAATTACTACAAAAAATTTCCATTTTTTGATTATTTTCTTGACAAAAAAATGAAGTGATAAATTGTGTTTCGATGGTTTGAATATCATACTAATAGTAGTTAGAAATAGAGTATTGATATAGTTTTATAGCCCTTCCTTTGTCGATTCTATCGCACTCCTGAACATCAGTAAATTAATATCGAGATCGTGAGAAACATGCTGCTTTTCTTGAAGTTTTATATAAAACCTCTAGGAAAATCTTTGTATATATAATTCGATGTACCTTCATCTGCTCTATCTTGTTCCTAACAAAAGTTATTTAAAAAATACCCACAGCTATTTAACTCTAAAATGGACAAAAATATATAAAAATTAATGTCGTCTTCACTTACAAGAAACAACTGTTTCCAGTTTTTCGTTGAAAGTGATGACTGAACAAGGAAGGATTGGCGTTGCGAATATTCCGTACTCTTCCTCAGGTCACTAGGATTTTTTTACTACTCTTCAATAATGGGGAAGGGTCCTGTCCCCGCATCGGCACATCCCTGCATAACAGAATATGGGATGGAGTATTTTCGAAGAAAAGTTTCACAAGTATTTAAGTTGCGTTCGTCGAGCTATGAATATTTCAAAATATAGCTGTTATTCGATAGGAACTGCACAAAACATGATTTCTGTAAAATATTCAAATCTCGACGAACACAATTTAAAAATTTGTGAAATTTATTGATATTGAAGAACAAACTTTTCATTCAACCAATTGAATTGAATGAAATTTCTTTTACATTGAAATGATTTTTACTTAATCAAAATTCTTTGATATGATCAATAATATGAATTAAAATTAAAATTTTGATTGATAAATAATATTTAAAATAAATTGTAAGAAAAAAATAATAAAAACTTACTTTAATTAATTTGGAAATGTCATTCGAATGACGAAAATTTGGTGGAAGATATGGTTTTTTTGATTTATGAAAATTATAATCAACACGTTTACAACAATATATATCAGATAAACGAATATGAATTAAATTAGAAATATTTCTTTGAGATAATGATGATGATTTATTATCCAGACCAAGAGAATTTATTGTTGATGATCTTTCATCATTTAATCTTATATTTAATCTATGATAATCGTCTTCTAAAATATAAATATAAACAATTTAATAATAATAGAAAAAAAACTAAAACATGAAGAAAAAAAACCTTGTCTAATATCAATATTATCTTCTGGCCATGATTGAATACGTAATTGTAGAGCAGCTAATGTAGCTGCTTCTTCTTTCGAACAAATTAATCGTCCATTAACAATATTTCTTTGCATTTTAATATATTCTCGATAAATATCTTCAGTAGTAACATCATCGATTTCTTTCTCTAATTGTATATCTTTATCCTCAAGAAAAAAAAAGAAGAAAAATAATTATTTAAATAAAATATTTTGTTAATATATACTTGAATTGAAAGAATTTCTTTTATTTGACTTGTCCATGTACGAAATGAAGAACGTAATGATTCAAGTAAACTAAAAAAAGTTTTTAATTCTTTTTGTACAAGATAATCTATAATGAATGAAATAAAATAGAATGTTTATTTATAATAATTTAAATGAATAAAACCTTGAAAATCTTCAGGTGATCTTAAAACCCAACTAGCTATAAGAAGAAGAACATCATTATCTTGTTTAGTTGTTTTATCTTTTGAATATGGATCAATAATTAATGATTTAATTGAATGTTCTTTTTCGATTTGTGATGAATAACTATATATAGATTGTTCAGATTTATTAATATGATTTTCAATAAAAAAATTTCTTTCTTCATTTAATATATTTATATCATTAGATTTATTTAATGATAATAATGATAAAGTTCGATTTGATTGAGGTAATAATTTAATATCATTTGAATTTAATTTGAAATTCTTAATTAATGATTGATATTTTCTACAATTTGAATAAATTGATTGATTATTTGTTTCACTTCTATAATTACCATTAAATGAATGACTACGATGTAAACAATTAAAATTATTTCTTAAAT